TTGTGAATTTTCTGCGTGAAGTGAGAAGTATAACGTTCCATGCCTGTGCCGTTCAGGTATGCTGCTTCATTACCTTCGCAGTTTGTGAATTGTTCTTGTTGTCCATCATGGCATACGATCGGTATGTTGCCATCTGCAGTCCTCTACTTTATGTTGTTCTCATGCCAAGGAGTCTCTGTATTAAAATGATTGTTAGCACATATACTTATGGGTTTGCTGTGGGTCTTGCACAAAGTCTGGCAACGTTTCAGATGTCATTTTGTGACACCAATAGGGTCAACCACTTCTATTGTGACGACGTTCCCCTAGTTGCTCTGGCCTGTTCTAATACTAGTATCAAAGAGATGATGCTACTAATCATTGCTGGGTTCAATACCCTTTGCTCTCTATTAATTGTGATCATATCCTATGTCTTCATCCTGTTTGCCATCTTGAGGATGAAATCTGCTGAAGGGAGAAGGAAAGCGTTTTCTACCTGTGCATCCCACCTGACTTCCATCACAATATTTTATGGGACAATCATTTTTATGTACCTACAGCCTAAGTCCAGTCATTCTTTGGACACCGATAAAGTTGCTTCTGTATTCTATGTAATAGTGATCCCGTTGCTAAACCCACTGATTTACAGCTTGAGAAACCAGGAAGTAAAAAATTCCCTGAAGAGATTGAAAGAAAAGTTACGTTTGGCTAGCAAATAACCTAAGGATTATCAGAGCATGATGAGTTGACTTTGAGCTGGTTTATACCTAGACTCGCTATGTTGATCAACGGCAGAGTGATGACCTTTGCCTGGAGAGCTCAGCCTCACTGGGGTATAGTAAATGTCCACTCTCTCATCTCAGTCATTTTCACCTAACAATCATGGTATAAATTTGAATCTCTGAGGTTTTAATGGAAGAAGGATTTGGAAATATCAGAGAGAGATGGGAGAGTGTGAAGCAAAGAGATAAGGTGACAGTACCAGGGAAAATTATACCATTTCCGTTATTTCCATCGTATCTTTAATAATTGTCAAACTCAGTGTTTAGAAATAGAAGCTTTGATTGATTTTTGTGAAACATGGATATATTTAGGTTTAGCTGTAAGAGCTCAACTTCTTGCTTTTTATATTTTACCATTATACAATAGACGATCTGGGAAAGAAATAAAGTTTATCAACGAGTTTTATAGACTAGAGTTTTTCCACAGGTTTCCAGGCTGCATGCATGTTGGAGTGTGTCACAAACCAGATTTTCTTGAGTTTTAAATATTACTCACTGATCCATAGTGGACCACATCTCTGCAGCCCCTTTTTAGCATTGTCTTTCAATCTTGTTCTTCCGGAGTCTTAACAGGATTTCAATTCTAAGATACTTTAGATAACCATTTTACCTTTTCAGTTAATGCTGTCATCTTGGCAAATGGCTTTATTTTTCTCCACCTACTTTCACTTCCATAGTATTTACAGAAAAGCAAAATGTGCCCCTTGTATGTAGTATACATGTCACAATAATGTGTACTATTCTTAACACTGATATTGTATCAGACATTCCATTTATTTGGTTCAGGTTTTTATGTAACAGACTTTCCAGTGAAATATTCTTCCTTCCTTTAAAATCAGTACAATCCTTGACAATGAATGTACTCATTAGGTTTACTCATGTAATTTTAATCCCTCTGTGCAGCATCTTTACAATAAAATAAAATAAAACAAAACAGTACAGTAAGAAGTAGAACTGTGGCTCAAAGTGCTAGAGTGTTAGCCTTGAACAAAAGAGAACAGGAACAACACTGAGGCTCTGAGTTCAAGCCCATGACCAACAAGAACAACAAAAACAATCAGTAATATAAATTATACAATTAATAAAATATAAAGTTTTCTACTAGATCCAAAATTAGTAAAGTCTCAACAAGCAATCATTTATTGACTGCTTTTGTTTTGTCAAATAGTAGTTTCCATTTTAAATGTATAGTCTCAGTTATTTTTCAAACATATGAGATAGGTATTCCAGAATGAATATGATCATGATAGTTTATCCAATCTACCAATACACAAATAACTATTTTTCAACAAGACACATATAGTTATGAATTAGAAGCATGGGTATTTGAATTCAGTTTTGAAAAACTGTACAGATTATTGTTACCTGACTGTTTCATAATTCTAACCATATCTACATCAGGGTTTTTGCATCATGATTCTCAAAAAAATATCTTTCCTGAATTACAGTTAAGTAAAAATCCTTCAGACTTCTGAAAACATAAGAAAGACATATGTGTCTGGTCCATGAACACATGTTTCATATCTGGCCATGTTAGTCTTCTACTTCAAAAATTGAAATAAAGGAAAAGTCATCACAGAGAGGGCAGAAAACTTTTCACATCTTTTTCTATTTTGTCTTCGATATGGATTTGCAATTGATGAATCCCTCATACCTTTCTAATCCAGAGTCTTGGTTGTTCCTTAAAAAGCTGTCTCTATTTCCACCTTGCCATCATTGGGGCTTCTTTACTGTTGTGTAAATTCTTAGTTTGGAGCATAATACTAGAACCTGTAGAAGTCTGAGAGCCAATCTTCTACCCTTTAGAGTAAGATTTGTTAGTAAAAATGAAGGTTGGAATAATCACTCTGTGAATCAGGTACATAGTTAAGGGTTAACAACCTATCATTGGTTTAAATAATTATAGATCAAATTATTTCAAGAGAAATATTGCTGGAATATATGTATTCCTATGCAACTCTAATTGGTAGTGATTCTTCTTGGATAATATGGTAATTAATTAAATTGGCGTAAAAATACTAAGGAAAGCATTGGGTTCCTTTGAACTAATATTTCAAAAATGAAATTGAGTGGGATACGCAAGCATACAGAATTAGTATTTAAGTATGACTCTCATAGATTATTGTATGAAACAAAAAGTTACAGAAAAATTCCTTGGAAAACAGTGTGCTTCAAATCAGGTACTGATGCTCTTTTACCTATAAAAAATGTTGGGTTTTCATTGATAAAACAAAACTTGTGACTTAATGACTAAGGCCAGTTGATAGCTGAACAACAATAATCACCTAACTAATTGTTTTAAAAATCAAACTGACATTAAGAAAAATCATGAAGTGAGGTTTGCAATTTTGACAGAAAGGATAATTTTAAAAACTTTCTAACATTTTCAGAGGACTATCATGATGAATTCAAACTACTGTATTACATGATGCTATGGAAAAATCCAAAACTGTAATAAAATCTGTAATAACATATAAGAACAAATCTCAAGTAGGTGAATGTTGTCTGAATTTTTCCCATATGTTAAAACACTCTTTGCTTTTATTTCTTAATGCTTCGTTGCTTTTAAGCTAAATTTAGAATTGTAGAACTCAAGTACTTAAATTTTGCCTATTAACTAAATTGGGTCCCAAAAGATAAGCCATGACTTAATTGCTTGTGTTTGTGAAACCTCATTATAATTTTCATCCAAAAGTGATTTTAAATGATGAAACTCAAGAAAAATATCCTAGCAGCAACAATAGATCATGTGAAATATATTCAAATACAGAAATGCTAAACAGTGGTCTCATCATTCATAGTTTTCCATAAGGTATATTGGACTCCTATTGATTTTGTTGATAATTACCTGAAGACAATGTGTAAGAAGAGAACCATCAAAGTAACTGAAGCCACTGAAAAATGACTTAAAAGGAAAAAATCTGTACATTTACTTATTCCAAGTATTTTCATCGCTTACTTGAAGAGTTTACTAATGCCTGAATCCTGCCAGGTAGAGACATTTTGTATATGAAAAATATGTCAATATCCTTCCTATTGTGATAAAACAAGTCTACCAGAAGGCTTATTTATCACAAATGTAATCCGCCTTGTTAGGAATTTGGGACTTTCTCCAAATTGGTGGTAAAGAGAACTATAGAGGTGCTCTTCAGAGAGTGGATGCAGGTGTTGTAGCACAGAGAGGGTGGTGAGCAGATGACTAGCTTAAGCAATCACCCAGCGGTTAATGACAGGATAGAGGGATATATGAAATATGTTCTTTACTTTGTCATGGATTTGACTGGATGGAAGATGCTGCCATAATGTTGATTATATATTGTTGAATTCCCTTTAGATAGGGCAAATTAGGGTATCTTTGAAAGACATAGTTGAGATCCCCTCAGCTAGATACCCAAATACAACTACTATATGTCTTTGTATCTCTTTGTTTGCTTTCATATATTTGTAGATGAATGATAGGAGATTACTTTAAAATATGAAAGTATCTTTAAGATGTTCACACTAATAAAAACAAACTTTCTATATTATATTTCTTAATTTGTCTCAAAATGCTACTTGGCTGTTGAAGGAAAGAGTTATAAAGGGAAAGTATGAAAAAAATAAAATCATTATAGCCATAATGTACAAGATATTACATAAAACTTTTTCCTGAAGTCAATTTTAACTTCATTTTAACTGCTGATTGGAAAGTGTATGTATATAAACTTCTATGAAATTTTTGTGGGTCTTACACTAACAGGTAGAATACTCCAGGTGTACTTTCGTGGCTCCATGGCGGTCAGTCACTTCTGTGATGTTTCCTCATCTGCTCAAACCCAGTCTGACACATCCAAGTAAAAACAGTGTCTTCTTGATTCAGCTTAGTGTAACTTTCTTTAAAGTACACCAATACGTGAGCAATAACATTTTGGTATCAATGAACAAATAATTCTCCATCATTTCTGTTTTAGTCCCAATTGGTATTACTTAGATTAATGAGTTATGTGAAAGTTTAAAACATAAGCTTTCTGTCTTCACACATACCTGCAGGATTGCATGATCTGGGATTTCTACCTCTGAAAAAGCATTGCAGTCTGAGATGCGGATCGGCATAAAGATATCCCCTTGAATGTGCTCAACATAAGATAAGTGATTCATAATCAACTCATGACCTACACTTGGTTATTCCAGTAGGAACAATATCACTCAGATTATGTGAGTTGAGAGGACTTTAGTGTAGAAGGCTTCTCTACCTGTTCGATGGCCCATGGCAATTATTCAATGGTGTCTGAGTTCATCCTCTTGGGTCTCACAGACCACCTGGAGCTTCAACTCATTCTCTTTGGTGTATTCCTGCTCATCTACTTAGGCAGTGCGTTGGGTAATCTTGGATTGATGGTGCTAATCCATATCAGTCCTCAGCTTCACACACCCATGTATTTTTTCCTCACACATCTGGCTTTCATTGATTTCTGCTTCACCTCCTCTATCACCCCAAACACTCTTGTGAATTTTCTGCGTGAAGTGAAAAGTATAACATTCTATGCCTGTGCCATACAGGTATGCTGCTTCATCAGCTTTTTGGTGTCTGAGCTGTTTTTGCTCTCCATCATGGCCTACGATCGATATGTCGCCATCTGCAATCCTCTACTTTATGTCGTTCTCATGCCAAGGGGTCTCTGTATGCGAGTCATGGCTAGCACATACATGTATGGATTTGCTGTGGGTCTTGCACAAACCCTGGCAACGTTTCAGTTATCCTTTTGTGACTCCAATAGGCTCAACCACTTCTACTGTGACGATGTTCCCTTAGTTGAGCTGGCCTGTTCTGACACAAGTATCAAAGAACTGATGTTGCTGATCATTGCTGGGTTCAATATACTTTGCTCTCTATTGATTGTGATCATATCCTATGTCTTCATCCTGTTTGCCATCTTGAGGATGAAATCTGCTAAAGGGAGAAGGAAAGCGTTTTCTACCTGTGCATCCCACCTGACTTCCATCACAATATTTTATGGGACAATCATTTTTATGTACCTACAGCTTAAGTCCAGTCATTCTTTGGACACTGATAAAGTTGCTTCTGTGTTCTATGTAATAGTGACTCCCTTGCTAAACCCATTGATCTATAGCTTGAGAAACCAGGAAGTAAAAAATTCCCTGAAGAGAATGGAAGAAAAGTTACATTTTGCTAACAAATAATCTAAGGATTATCGAAGAGTAGTGCTGAATTGATTTTGAGTTGGGTTTTATTTAGAGTCAGATTTTTGGTCAATGGCAGAATCATGACTTTCACCTGGAGAGCTCAGCCTCACTCAGGCTACAGTAAATGTCCACTGTCTCATTTCAGTCATTTTCACTTAACAACCGTGGTGTAAATTTCAATGTCTTGAATTTTACTTGTTTATTTTTTTTTTTGGTCGGTCGTGGGGCTTGAACTCTGGGCCTGGGTGCTGTCCCTGCGCTCTTCAGCTCAAGGTGAGTGCTCTACCACTTAAGCCACAGTGCCATTTCCGGTTTTCTAGTGGTTTATTGGAGATAAGAGTTTTATAGACTTTCTTGCCTGGGCTGGCTTTGAACCATGATCCTCAGGTCTCAGCCTCCTGAGTAGCTAGGATTATAGGCGTGAGCTACTAGCACCGGGCTAATGTCTTGAATTTTAATGGCCAAAGGATTTGAAAGAGCAGAGAGAAATGGGAGAATATGAACAAAAGAGTTAAAGTGACAGTAAATGAGAAAGAATATGCTGTTTCCATTGCATCTTTAATATCTGAAGAAACACCATATACGTGAACATAAGCTTTGACTGATTTTTGTGTAACATGGAGATGTTTATGTTTAGCTAAAAGAGCTCTACTTCTTGCTTCTTACATTATACAATAGACAATCTGGGAAAATATTAAAGTTTATCAACAAGGTTTATAGACTGGGATTTTCAACAGGTCTCCAGCCTGCAAGGAGAGTATATCACTAACAAGATTACCTTGATTTTAACTATCCCTCACTGATTCCATCCTAGACCAAATCAATACAGCCCCTTCTTAGCACTGTCATTCTCGTGCCTGAATCTGTGTCTTATTTTGACTCTAAAATACTTGATTAACAATTTTGTGTTTATAATTGATAGCTATCATCTTGGCAAATTGTTCCATTTTCCTCTCTGTGTTTTTACTCTGTAGAGAGCAGTAATAGTTCATTGCTCCATGTCTGACTATATTAAAGAATATTGTAAATATACATAGGTTGTTATGGAATGTTGTCGTGGAGTGTGGTTCCTTCTACCTGTCCTACAACCTAACCAGTTGTAGATTCCAAAGCAACACCATGTGCCACTTTGTTTAGTGGATGCCTCGCAAACATCCTATCCAAATGTGTGTACTCTTCTCAATTAACACTGTGTCAGGCATGCCTGTCATTTGATTTAGGTTTTTGTGTAATGTTCTTTTTGGTGAAATTATCATCTTCCCTTTTAAATCAGTAGTGCAGATAATACAATCAATAAAGTAAAATATGAAATCTACTAACTAGTTCCAAATGTGTAAAGCCAATATAAACAGTTATTTACTGACTGTTTTATTGTGTCAAGTAGTGTATTTAGTTTTATTTAATGGATTGTCTCATTTTTCAAACACATGCGATCGTGTCTGAGAATGAGTGTGTTCTACGTAATGTAGTTTATACAGTTCATCAACACACATTTATAGCTGTGCAATAGACATGGAGTTTGTTCAGTTTTGAACATTTTACAACTAATTTTTACATGACTTTCCAATAATTGTAAGTAGATATAAATTAGGATTTTTGTCTCACAATTCTCAAAAACATCATTCCTAATTTGTATTTAAATAAAAATTCTCCAGAATTTTGAAAATATAGAAAGATATGAGTCTGATATATTCCAGCCATGGTATAACTCCTTTGAACAAATTATCTGATAATTAAACAAAATGAACACCAGAAGGTCAAAACATGTTTTCTGTGGGATAGTGAACCTTAAAGGGAGGTGGTCAACAGACAATAGGGGAGAAGAAGTGTGGAAAAATAATGACCCTCTTCAAAAAGAAATGTATGCATTACCTGAATTATGAACTGCAGCCATTCTGTATATCACCTTTACAATAACAAGAAATAAAAAATAAAGACACTAATCAATATACTCATGTGAGAATAGAATGTGAACTTAGAGGTTAGGACAGATGAGAGGAGAATGCTGTGGATCAAAATGTCTTGTATTCATAAACTGAAATGTAGAATTAAAACCCCTGTATACAACAACGTTAGATAACAATGAAAATAATTTTAAAAGAGTAGTAAAAGCAGAAAATATAAAATAAAATATAAAGGCTTTAATAGGATTAAATTCAATTGCTTGGAGTTTTTTTCAAGTTAGATCAACAATCAATGACACGTAAAAAAATTTAGAAAGCTTTGTTTCAAGACAATGTACTAGGGATGCTTGGTATTTATGATGTATCTGTTAGATGCTACTTATTAGGTCCAAACACACATCTTATTATCTTAATGTTGCTACTTCCATTTGTGTAATAATTATCTGCATATTTTGCAAGTATTTGGGAGATTAATATGATTTCCCATCTATCAGGAACAAAACTCAAATTTGGGTCCAAATTGTTCTGAAATCAGGCAAGTGTTCCACAAAATATATATATATATATATATATATATATATATATACGTATATACATATATATATATATATATATATAATTGTGAAAATACCATACAGAGGGGTTACAATTACATGGGCAAGGTAATGAGTCTTACCAAGCATTGTTGCTTCCTCCCTTGTTTCCCCTTCCCATCTCTTCCCATCTTCCCCATCCCTGCGCCCCCCCAAAGTTGTAAAGTTCATTTTTTCCACATAACGTCTTATACATCTCATTGTTGCAATGGGTCCACCTGTATCCCTATTTAAACAATTTGTTTTTCCTTTACCCTCCACAAGTTATACCGACATCAAATACAGTGAAAACAGGGGTTATACCGTGGGAGAGGGACATACAAAGCAACAAAAAAAAAATCATCTTTTAAATATGTTAGAAACAATTGCAAAAAAGAAAAAAACATTGAATATAATTCATCACATCAACAAGAACAAGGATAAGAACCACATGATTATCTCAATACATGCAGAAAAAGCATTTGACAAGATTCAACACTCCTTTATGATGAAAGTTCTGGAAAAATTAGGAATCCAGGGAACATTCCTCAATACAATGAAGGCTGTGTATGACAAACCTACAGCCAGCATTATACTTAATGGTAAAAAGCTAAAGCCATTTCCTCTTAACTCAGGAATGAGACAAGGATGTCCACTCTCTCCACTTCTCTTCAATCTAGTATTAGAATGCCTAGCTACAGCAAAAAGACAAGATGCAAACATAAAAGGGATCCAAATAGGGAAAGAGGAAGTAAAACTCTCCCTCTTTTCAGATGACATGATTTTTTATTTAAAGACTCCCACGGACTCCACTTCCAAATTACTCAAGCTGATTCAAAGCTTTAGCAAAATAGCAGGGTATAAAATTAACCCACAAATATTATTAAATGTTAAAAAGGCATTATTTCCTTTTTTAATCAGCCTCTGAATTTTACATTTGTATTTAAAGCACTATTTACTTGTATTTTCTTTATTTTCAATTTTCTTTATTTTTATTAGAAACTAAATTGTGAAACGTTGATAGTTGAGTAGTGTGATATTTTGACTGTAGGACTATAGCGAAGTAATTTTCATCATAGTATCAGGGACTGCACAAAAAACTGCCCATCTGCTAACAAATACCCTTAATATGCTATCTATCCAGTACGCCAAAGACTTGTAGCTCATGTTCCAAGAAAACCTACAATTTCTTTAATTGTTGATAGTAAATAATTTAACTTATATACAGGGATATAATTACAATGATTTTCATTGATCCGTCCATGGCAGTCTGACCAAATTAAACTTAGAGGAATTTTAATAGGAATAATTACTATGTTGGCTATGTAATTGAGAAACAATCAGTATTTTTCAGAAAGACTTATTTTTCAAAAATTACACTGGTCTTATACAAAATGTTATTGGATCAGTGATTATGAGCAAATAACAGAAGAGGGGAAAATAGGGAAAAGTATAATATGATCCAAGTTTTACATGTTTATGAATATGTATATATCATACATAAAATTTACATATACATCTTGTATCATACATATATATAGCATATATATCATACATACATACATATATAGTATATAGCATATATCACATATATACCATATAGATGTACTTACATAATATATACATATGTACACTGTAAAGAGTACAAATTAACTAAACACTGTGAAAAGCAGAAACAGAAATTTTAATTAGGCATGACAAGAAATAAACTTGTTTTCATGTATGGAAATATTGCCATGAATATTACATAGAATAAATTCATGCTAATAAATATAAAAATCAAAAGAAAAATCCTGCAAGCCAATCAGTGTTTAAGTGTGACTGTCATCAGTTATTGAATGGAACAGAAAGATTCATGGACCTTCTTAGAGAAACAGTGTTATTCAAATCAGTCAGCAATGTTGTAAAGGCCTGGAGTTCTTTAGCAATAAAAACTGTTTTTTTTCTCAGTTTAGGACCATAGGATAATAGGCGAACAACAATGATCACTTTATGAATCGTTCAAAAATGTTAGAATAACATGAAGAAGAATCCTGAAATATAGTTTGTGATTTTTGAAAGAAAGAAAAGAAAAATCTTTCTAAAATAGATAATGACCACTTTCTCAGAAGCCTATCCAACTCAGAAGCCTAGCAACTCTATTCCATGACCTCATAGAGAACTTCACAACTATAACACACTCTGTAAAAACAAATCATGGGGAGTGAATGTTGTCAGCGTTATGTCTCATCTGTTAGAATGATGTTTGTTATTATTTCTTAGTTCTTTCTTTAGGTTCTTGTTTCTTCCATGAGATTCAGTGTACCGTTGTAGTACTCACATGGTTAACTTTTGTCTATTAAGGAAATTGGGTCCCCAATGAACAATTGTGACTTAATTGCTTATGTTTGCAAAGCACCATTACTGTTTTGACTCAAAAATGATTTAAAATGATGCAATTCAAGAAAAATATCCAAAGGCAACAATAGATCACACAATATACTTTTAAATACTGAAATGCTAGGAAGTGTTGTCATCTACAATCATCCATAAAGTATATTGGCTGTCTTTTGGTTCTGTTGATCATTATTCAAAAGCAATATGTAGGACGAGAAACTTTAAGGTAATTAAAGCAAAGAAAAAGGATTTAAAAAGACAAAATCTGTAAATTATCATGTTTAATTGTTTTCATAGTTTATTAGGAGAATTTACTAACTGACTCCTGCTAGGTAGTAGTATTTATTATAAATGGTGAAAGGAGTCTACAAGAAAGGTTTATGCATCACAAATGTAATCAGCCTTGTAGGAAGTTTGGACTCAGTTTACAGTTTGATGGGAAACAAAAGCCAAGATTTGCATGTTAGAAAGTACACTCAAGATGTCACAGAAAGGAGGAAGAGGAGATGACCAGCATCAGAAAAAGAATTCATCCAATGCTTAGGGCCAAGGTAGATGGACAGAAGAATATGTTCTTTACATTGCCATGGGTTTGCCAGGATGAAAGATGGTAGCATGCACTGAATTTGAGCATGTCTAACATTACACGTAAGTGGGCTGTAGATGATTGGTTCTTGAATTCTCTTAAATGTATTAAATTTGAAAATATTTGTCCCAGCTATTTATTTCAGAGAAATCCAATACTTAGATTTTTTGCTTTACCTAGTGTACCTTTGTATACCTGAACATATAGGTTAGGAGGTTTATTTGAATTATAACAGTATTCTTCATCTGTGAGATCTTTTTCAAAACACAAAAAAAACTACATACATTTCAAGCTTAGTATTTACTTAATTAACAAAAGCTATTTGAGAATTGATAAAATAGAGAAATAAGAAAAAACAAAATAAAAAAGTAAACTAATGCAAACAGAATGTACAGATAACATCAATATCCCAAATTGTCTTCAATATATTTCATAGAAGCTTTTCTGGAGTTGATCTTTAACTTTATTATTCCTGATATCTGGAAAGTGTGCTGGCACAAACATTGGCGGATTCATGGTGGGTCTTTCACTAAGAGTGGAGACATCCCAATGCTGTCAGTCATTCTGTGATGTTTCCTCATCTGCTCAAACACATTCTGACACACCCAAGAAATAATATTTTTATTGTTTAATTTGGTGTAATTATCTTTAAATTATAACAATACTTAAGAAAGAATCTTTTTGTTATCAATGCACATATAATTCTCAATCCTTTCTCTTTTACTCATAACAGATATGATTTCAGTTAATAAATTATGTAAAACTTTAAAATACAACTTTCTGTTTTCACAGAACTTTGTAGAGATGCATGACTTGAAGACTGAAAGCTGGCTCAAGATGAAGACATTCCTATGAATGAATAGGATCAGTGATTCATAAACTCACTTGATCTACACTTGGTTGTTCCAGTAGGAACATCACTCCGATTGTGTAATCCGATCGGACTTTAGTGTAGAAGGCTTCTCCACCTGTTCCATGGCCCATGGAAATTATTCAGTGGTGTCTGAGTTCACCCTCCTAGGGCTCACGGATAATCCAGGGCTTCAAGTCATTCTCTTTGGTGTATTCCTGCTCATCTACTTAGGTAGTGCATTGGGTAATCTTGGATTGATGGTGCTAATCCATATCAGTCCTCAGCTTCACACACCCATGTATTTTTTCCTCACACATCTGGCTTTCATTGATTTCTGCTTCACCTCCTCTATCACCCCAAACACTCTTGTGAATTTTCTGCGTGAAGTGAAAAGTATAACATTCTATGCCTGTGCCATGCAGGTATGCTGCTTCATCAGCTTTTTGGTGTCTGAGCTGTTTTTGCTCTCCATCATGGCCTACGATCGATATGTCGCCATCTGCAATCCTCTACTTTATGTCGTTCTCATGCCAAGGGGTCTCTGTATGCGAGTCATGGCTAGCACATACATGTATGGATTTGCTGTGGGTCTTGCACAAACCCTGGCAACGTTTCAGTTATCCTTTTGTGACTCCAATAGGCTCAACCACTTCTACTGTGATGATGTGCCTCTAGTTGCTCTGGCCTGTTCTGACACAAGTATCAAAGAGATGATGCTACTAATCATTGCTGGGTTCAATACCCTTTGCTCTCTATTAATTGTGATCATTTCCTATGTCTTCATCCTGTTTGCCATCTTGAGGATGAAATCTGCTGAAGGGAGAAGGAAAGCGTTTTCTACCTGTGCATCCCACCTGACTTCCCTCACAATATACTATGGGACAATCATTTTTATGTACCTACAGCCTAAGTCCAGTCATTCACTGGACACAGATAAACTTGCTTCTGTGTTTTATGTTGTAGTGATTCCCTTGTTAAATCCACTGATCTATAGTTTGAGGAATCAAGAAGTGAAAAATTCCCTGAAGAGAGAGGGGGGACCAAGATGGCGATGGGGCAGTAGGTAAACGCCACAGCTCTCTCCAACCAAAAAGAGAGTTCAAGTTCCAACGCTTAATCTCCCCAAGAGATCGACAACAACAAAAAGACGAACACTCAGAGAAAAACCAGAGGTTGAAAATAACAAAAAAAGAAAGAGGAAAAGAAGAAATTCAGAACAGAGAAGAGCGAAGACCCCTCCCCCAACCTTTATTGGCCACGCAGCAGTGCGCCAAGCCGCCGGCCAGCCGGCCCGGCGGGGGCTGCCGGAGCCCCAGAGACACAGGGGGCTGCTTGCAGATCACCAGGTACCGGTTTGCAGAACAGCGGATCGCCAGGAACAAAGAAACCTACCAGTCGGGAATCTCCACGAGGATCCCACCCCCACCCCTCACTTTCCACCAGAGCAGAGAGGCTCCATCCCGACAAAGCCGCCCGGCACCAGCAGCACGACAAAGGAACCTGTCGGCAGACCACCCGCCCAGTGGCGATCGCAACGACCCGGATCAAACCGGTTCAAACCGCCCAAACCGGATCACACTGGTCAGAACCGGCTCAAACCGGCTCAAACCGGTTCTAACTGGATCAAACCGGTTCTAACCATTTCAAACCGGTCAGAATCGAGTCAAACCGGCTCAAACCAGTCAGAACCACATCAAACCAGCTCAAACCGGTTAAAACCGGATCAGAACTGGATCAAACCAGCTCAAACCGGATCGAATCGGCTCTAACCAGTTAGAACCAGATCAAACCATTTCAAACCGGCTCAAACCGATTCAAATCGGTCAGAACCGGCTCAAACCAGATCAGACCGACTCAAACCGGTTTGAACCGGCTCAAACCGGATCAAACAGGTTTAAACTGGATCAAATCAGTTCAAACCAGTCAGAACCGGATCGAGCCGGCTCAAACCGGTCAGAACCAGATCAAACCGGCTCAAACCGGTTTGAACCGGCTCAAACTGGATCAGACCGGCGCAAGTCGGTTTAAACCCCTTCAAACCGGATCAGACCGGTCAGAACGGGATCAAACCGGTTAGAACCGGATCAAGCGGGCAATAACCGGTTAGAGCCGGATCAGACCGCTTCAAACCGGTCAAAAGGGGATCAAACCTGTTAGAACCGCATCAAACCAGATCAGACCGGTTCAAACCGGTTAGAACCGGTTCAAACCGGATCAGAATGGTTCAAACAGGTCAGAACGGGATCAAACCGTGTAGAGCAAGGCTCAAACCAGATCAAACCGGTAAGAACTGGTTCTAACTGGTTCAAACCGGTCAGACCTAGATCACACCGGCGCAAACCGTTTTAAACCACTTCAAACCGATCGAACCTGTCAGAACGGTATTGAGCCGGTTAGAAACGCATCAGACTGGTTCAAACCGGTCAGAAACGGATCAAACCGGTTTGAACCATTCTCATCCGGTTTGAACCGGTTCTAACCGGTTTGAACCGGTCTGATCCGGTTTGATGCTGTTCTAACAGGTTTGATCCCGTTTTGACCGGTTTGAAGCAGTCTGATCCGGCTCTAACCGGTTATTGCCAGTTTGATCCGGTTCTAACCGGTTTGATCCCGTTCTGACCAGTCTGATCTGGTTTGAACCGGTTCTAACCGGTTTGAGCCGGTCTGATCTGTCTCTACCTGGTTTGATCCGTTATGACAGGTTTGAACCGGTCTGATCCGGTTCTAACCTGTGTGATCCTGTTCTGACCGGTTTGAAGTGGTCTGATCTGGCTCTAACCGGTTATTGCCGGCTTGATCCGGTTCTAACCGGTTTGATCCCGTTCTGACCGGTCTGATCCGGTTTGAAGCGGTTTAAACCCACTTGCGCCGGTCTGATCCAGTTTGAGTCGGTTCAAACCGGTTTGAGCCAGTTTGATCTGGTTCTGACCGGTTTGAGCCGGCTCGAACCGGATCACACCGTTTTGAACTGGATCAAACTGGTTAGAACCGGTTCAAACCGGTCAGAACCGGATCTAACCAGCTCAAACAGTTAGAGCCGGATTAAAACGGCTCATACCGGTTCAAACTGGTCAGAATCGGATGAAATCGGTTCAAACCGGTCAGAACCAGATCAAGCCGGTTAGAACGGGCTCAAACCGGATCAGACCGGTCAGAACCGGATCAGAACGGTCAGAACCAGATCAAGCCGGTTAGAACCGGATCAAACAGATTAAAACCGATTCAAACTGGTTCAAACCGGTCGAAACTGGATCGAACCGGCTCAAACAGGTCAGACCCGGATCAAACCATTTCAAACCGGTCAGAACCGGATCGAACCGGCTCAAACCGGTCCAAACCGGATCAGACCGGTCAGAACCGGATCGAACCGGCTCAAACCGGCCCAAACCGGATCAGACCGGTCAGAATCGGTTCAAACCGGTCAGGACCGGATCAAATCGGTTTAAGCCGGTTCAAACCGGATCAAACAGGTTTAAACCAGTTCAAATCGGTCAGAATCGGATCGAACCGGCTCAAACCGGTCAGAGCCAGATCAAACCAGCTCAAACCGGTTAAAACCGGTTCAGACCGGTTAGAACCGGATCAAACTGCTTAGAGCCGGCTCAAAACGGATCAAACAGGTTTTAACGGGTTCAAATCGGTTCAAATCAGTCAGAACCGGATCGAACCGGCTCAAATCGCTCAGAACCAGATCAAACTGGCTCAAACCGGTTTGAACCAGCTCAAACCGGGTCAGACCGGTCAGAATGGGATCAATCCGGTTAGAACCGGTTCAAGCCGGCTCGAACCGGATCAGACCGATTCAAACCGGTTAGAACCAGATCACGCCGGTTCAAACTGGTCAGAACGGGATCAAGCTGGTTAGAACAGGATCAAACCGGCACGAACCGGATCAGACCGGTTCGATCCGGTTCAAACTGGTCCGAACTGGATCAGACCGGTCAGAACCAGCTCGAACCGGTTCAAGCCCCGGATCAAACCGGTTAGAGCCCCGGATCAGACCGTCTCAAACCGGTTAGAACCGGTTCAGACCAGTTAGAACCGGATCAGACCGGTTCAAACCGGTCAGAACGGGATCAAACCGGTTAGAACAGGATCAAGACAGCTCGAACCCGATCAGACCGTCTCAAACCGGTTCAAACCGGTCAGAACTGGATCAAACCGGCTCGAAATGGATCATACCGGTTAGAACCGGATCAAACCGGCTCAAACCATATCGGACCGGCTCAGTCCAGTTAGAGCCGGATCAAAGCAGTTAGAACCAGATTGGACCAGTTCAAACACTGGTCAGAACCGGATCAAACCGGTCAGAACCAGATCAAACTGGTTAAAACCGGCTCAAACCGGATCAGAACGGCGCAAACCGTTTTAAACCACTTCAAACGGGATCAGACCGGTCACAACGGTATCGAACGGGCTCAAACCAGAGCAGACCGACTCAAACCGGTTTGAACCGGCTCAAACTGGATCAGACCGGTTCAAACCGGTTTAAACTGCTTCAAACCAGATCAGACCGGTCAGAATGGGATCAAACCGGTTAGAACCGGATCAAACCGGCTAGAGCCGGATCAAGCTGTTTCGAGCCGTCAGAACCAGATCAAACCGGTTAGAACCGGATCAGACCGGTTCAAACCGGTCAGAACGGGATCAAACCGGTTCGAACCGGATCAAGCCTGCTCGAACCGGATCAGACCGGTAAGAACCGGATCAAACCGGCTCGAAGGGGATCAGACCGGCTGAGACCAGTTAGAGCCGGATCAAAGCGGTTCGAACTGGATCAGACCGGTTCAAACCAGTTTGAGCAGGATCAGTTCGAACCGGATCGGACCAGGTCAAACCTATTAGAGCCGGATCAGACCAGCTCAAACCGGTTCGATCGAACCGGTTAGAACTGGATAAAACCGGCTAGAACCGGATCAAACCGGCTCACACCGACCGGTTCAAACCCGTTAGAACCGGATCGAACAGGCTCAAACCGGTCAGGACCGGATCAAACCGGTTTAGGCTGGCCAGAACCAGATCAAACCGGTTTCAACCGGATCAATCCGGTCAGAACCAGCTCAAACCGGCTCAAACCGGAACAGACCGGCGCAAACCAGTTTAAGCCGTTTCAAACCTGATCAGATCGGCTTAAACCGGTTCAAACCGGATCAAACCGGATTAAACCTGCTCTAACCGGTTCAAACCGGCTCAAACCGGTTCAAACTGGTCAGAACTGGATCAAACCGTTCAGGACCAGATCAAACCGGTTAAAACCGGCTCAAACCGGATCAGACCAGTGCAAACCGGTTTAAACTGCTTCTAACCGGATCAGACCGGCTTAAACCGGTTCAAACCGGATCACACACACACACATTTATATATATATCCATTTGTCCATTGAGGGGCCTTTGAGCTGATTCCATACTTTGGCTGTGGTGAATAGTGCTGCAATAAAAATCGTGCTGGTGGCTCTAATGTATCCTGGTTTGTAATCTTTTGGATAAATGTCCAAGAGAGCTATTGCTGGATTGACCATAGGGTAGTTCTATGTTTAACTTTTTGAAAAACCTCCACATTGTTTTCAAGAGTGGTTGAACAAGTTTATATTCCCACCAACAGTGTTATTAAGGTTTGGTTTGGTTTGGCCACATCCTTACCAATATCTGTTATCAATTTTCTTCTTTTTGCAGTTGTGGGGCTTGAACTCTGGGACTGGCACTATCCCTGTGTTCTTCAGCTCAAGGTGAGTGCTCCATAGTGCCACTTCCAGTGTTCTAGTGGTTTATTGGAGATAAAGAGTCTCATGGACTTTTCTGCCCAGGCTGGCTTTAAACCATGATCCTCAGATCTCAGCCTCCTGAGTAGCTAGGATTGCAGGCATGAGCCACCAAAGCCCAGCCCATTTGTTTTCTTGATAATAGCCAATCTAACTGGAGTGAGGTTGAATCTCAATATTGTTTTGATTTGCATTTCCTTTATGGCCATAAATGTTGAGCATTTCTTCACGTGTCTATTGATCATTTTTACTTCTTCTGAGAAGACTCTCTAGCTTATTAGCCCATTGATTAATATGGTTATTGTTCTTTTGAAGATTTAATTTTAAAGTTCTCTGTATGTGCTGGATATTAGGCCATTGTCTGTTGTGAAACTGGAAACAATTTCCCATTCTATAGGCTTATTGGCTATGTTCTTTGCTGTGCAGAAACTTTTTAGTTTGATCCAGATCCATTTATCAAGTCTTTCTTTGATTGCTATGCTTCAGAAAATTTTTACCTGTGGCCGAGAGTCCTAATGTTTCCTCTATTCTTGTGATAGTTTCATAGTTTCAGATCTTGCATTGAGGTCTTTGATCTATTCTGAATTGATGCTGGAGCAAGTTGATATGTAAGGAGCTAGTTTCAGTTTTCTGCATGTGGATTTCCTGTTTGGCCAGCACCATTTGTTGAAGAGGTTGTTTTTCTTCTAGCCTAAGTTTTTGTCTCCCTTATTGAATATTAAATAGTTGAAGTTCTGTTGGTTTATTTCTGGGTCTTCTATACAGTTCCATTGATCTTCAGGCCCATTTTTATACCAGTACCAAGCTGTTTTCATTATTATGGCTTTGTAGAAGAGTTTGAAGTTTGGTATTGTTTTTCCTCCAACATTATTCTGCTTGCTAAGGATTTCTTTTGCTATTCAGGATCTTTTGTTGTTTCATATGAATTTTTGGGTTACTTTTTTACTCATTGAAGAATGATGTTGGGATTTTGATAGTTATTGCATTGAATTTGTAGATTGCTTTGGGCACTGTTACCTTTTTCACAATGTTAATTCTTTCAATCCAGGAGCATGGAATTCTTTCCATGTTCTTAAGTCTTCTTTAATTTCCTTCTTTACCTTTCAAAGTTTTCACCATAAAGGTACTTCAGATTTTTGGTTAGTTCCTATGTATTTTATTTTTCTGAGGTTATTGCAAATGGAGTTTTCCTGATTTCATTCTTGATCTTCTCATTGGCCAACCAGTCTTTAACTAAACTTGCTTGTTTATTCACAGTATTCCCTATGCTATTTGTTGTCCCCTGGGGGATTGCTCGTGCATACCTGGAGAACAAAGGGTAAGTAATTCATCTGGATTTACCCTTTATGAGCCAGTAATTCCCAGATATGCTTAAAGAATGACACCATTTTCCCAAAGAAAGCAACCAACTTTCCGACTGTGTCCATCTAGAATATGATTTGGAATGTAGATAAGTAATCAAAAATCTTGTAGTCACTTACTAATTCAGTCACACATGCAGATAACCATAAATATGGTTTGTGGTTTGAGACCAGCTTGGGACAGAAAAAAAAAAAATCCTCCAGACTATTATTTACATTTAACCAGCAAAAATAGCCAGAAAGAGAGGTGTGGCTCAAGTGGTAAAGTACCAGCCTTGGGTGAAAAAGGTCAGGGACAGGGTTCCCAGGTCTTGAGTTCAAGCCCTGGGACTGGCACAAGAAAGAAAGGAAAGAAAGAAAAAGAAAGGAAGGAAGGAAGGTAGGTTCTGTGTCTCTTACATTTCATCGAACAGGGAAGACAGCGCTCCTTGCACCCCAAATGTAGCAAGAGAGGGCAATTGAGTCTCAGTGAGCTTAATATCACCCCCTGATAAAGTCATACAAGTCTCTCCATTAGCACCAGCCCCCTGCTAGGACTGTGCAGTGCCAGCTCAGTGCCCGCTACTGCTGAGACACAGGTGCCCACTGTCAGTCTAATAGGCTCCTTTCCCATAGCTTAGCATGCTCCTTTCAGGAGCAGGCACCATTCTCAAAGTAATCAACACTAGGCCCAGTTAGTGCAGGTAGTAAACAATTGGCCTCCTTGCCCCTCCCCTTAAGATGACTCTCCATTGGGTCAGTTACAACCATATAAGGTAACAGGACCCCTTAAATTGACCTTCAGTCTGGCCAGCTGCAGCCCTACTCATCTACTACTTGCACAGCTGCCATAAATCCTAGCCCAGCCATGATGAAGTCCCTGGCTCACGTGTCTTAGCCCCTTAGGTTACACAGGTCACCACAGACAAAGACTGGTGCTTCTTCTCCCTGTGAGAATTGGCCTTTGCTGGCAAGAAACCTTTCTTTCTTTGTTCTCTGTGCCTGGGTGTCCATGTGGTTTTACACCCCCCCTTCCACGATGATGGGAGATCTGGTGACCCCTAAACACAGGCAGTTCCCCATTCCAGCTGCAGGCCTTTCTGGCTGGCCCACTGTGAGCACAGAGACAGCTGAGCCTCTCTTGGTGGAGCAGGCCCCACCGCCAGGTGCAAGGCCCTGGGAGGATCCATGGCATGCACATACCGCCCCCCACCCCCTCTTACAGCATCCATGAACCACTGGCTCCTGGCAGGACAATGACTCTTAAAGGGCCTCAGCCGACCTCTCGATGGTCCAGGGAAACGCAGGGGTCTCCAAGGTCAGCAGGAGCCATGACAGTCAATGACAGTCAAGGGACAGAGGTGAGACATGAGTAGCAGGAATCTTGTTTTAGTTCAGTGTCAACCTGGAAAGATCTGGATTCCTCTGCAGCAGTTCTGAGTTTCTTATGAGCCTCCCCACCCCCCACCCCCAAACCCTGGCTTCGTGCTTTGCACACAGCCCCTTCACCTCCACTTCGCCCCATCTCCCAAGCTCTCTCTCCCTCCCCGGACATCCCAGCCCCACAGGGCGCTGTTGTTTGTAAACAGCGGTTGCTGGGTGGAATTATTTTGGGGGAGGCTACAAGGGAGAAATGCAAGGCCTCTAGCACATGCTAGGTAAGCACTGTGACACTAATCTTCAACCTTTTTTTTTTAAGTTTATGTTGAGACAAGGTCCCTATGTAGCCCAAGCTGTTCTTGAACTCTTGACCTGTCTGCCTCAACCTCCCAAGTGCTGGTATTACCCCTCCCTATAGCAGCTCATCTCCCTGCTTCCTTTCCTCCCCTTCCCACTTTTTCCCTCTCCCCTCTCCTCCTCCTCCCTCCCTTCCCCTCCCCTCCTCTCCTCTGCTCTCTTCTCCCCTCCCTTTTCCTCCCCTCCCCTCCTCTCCTCTTCTTTCCTCTATTTCTTTCTCTTTTTTTAAAGAAGTCCCTATGTTTTGGCCCCTGGTGGCTGGGATTACAGGTATATACCACCAAGCCCAGCCCCCAACTGGTCTTTATTAGCATAACTTTTTTTTTAATTTTTAAAATAGTCATAAAAGTGATGTACAGATGGGTTATAGTTACATAAGTCAGATAATGAGCTCACTTCATATCTCTCTCTCTCTCTCTCTCTCTCTCTCTCTATATATATATATATATATATATATATATATACTTTTTATTGTTATGCGGGAATTCAATCTCAGGATACAGAGACGCCACATTTTGAGAGGTCGAATTGGGAATCCTGATTAGAAAGCCAGTGACTGCAAGTGGACACATTCCCCGAGAGACTTGCAGCCTCGAACACACTTCACACTGTAAGAAAACTGAGACACGAGGGTAGTAAAGAAAGAGCAGAAAACAATCTCAACAAACCCTCGTGGAGAATTGAAGAGGGATGCCATGCTGCCCTGCGGAGAGCTAGGAGGAGGGTGTGAAATGAGGCTGAGGTGGTGGTGATGGTGGAGGGACTTAAATAGGGTCATGGTCAGGAGGCAGGGTCACATGGAGCTCAAGGGTTCAGAGTCTAGTGAGTTCATGGTATATTCCTGGCAGTTCCAATAACCTATTGTCCAAGTCCCCACCCCTGCCTCTAGGAACTCGGGCATGCCCAGCGCCTGGGGATGGGACTCCACCTCCGAGAGTCTTTGGAAATTCCCTATCATCCAGCATATTGCCAAGATGGGCCCAGTTAGACCCAGTATCCTTATTTCATTATAAAGATGATGTACAAAAGGAGTTGCAAGTGAACATCTCTTTCTGGACAATGTCACCCCTTCCCTCCTCTTCTAGTTTTTCCCTGCCATCCCCACTCACAAATTGTCTAGTTCATTTTCAACATAGTGTCTAGTGAGCACCACTGCTGTATTTGTTTACTCTTTGTCCCTCCATTTCTGTGTCCCCCTTATCTTCCCAAGGACAGAAAAGGAGCAAACAAGACAAAAAGAAAACAAAAACAGCAACAAAGGAAAAAACAAAACTTGATGCCAGGCACTGGTGGCTCACACCTGTAATCCTAACTACTAAAGAGCCTGAGATCTGCGGATCACAGTTCAAAGCCAGCCAGGGACCAGCCGGGAGTCTCCACGAGGATCCCACCCCCACCTCTCACTTTCCACAGGAGCAGAGAAGCTCCATCCCGCCAAAGCCGCCTGGCACCAGCAGCGCGACAAAAGGACCTGTCAGCAGACCACCTGCCCGATCGCGATCGCAACAACCCGGGTCCCAGAGACAGAGGGGGCTGCCTGCAGATCACCCGCGCACTCAGACCCACCGGATCTCTACAACCCGCGAAGAAGCCGCCTGAGCGTGGACCCTGTTGACCCAACAGCTTCAATAGAGGCAGAGACAGAAAAAATCACACAGAGCCACCACCGCCCAACCAAGCCCACAACCACCCCAACTGAACTCGGATTGCAACAACAACTGACGACCTACACCACACAGAAACAACCAGCTCCAGGGTGAGTACCCCACAGGGGACAGTGTATCCCTCAAGGGAGACCAGAGCTGGAGGGAATCCCCAGACCCTGACCTAGACTCCCTACCCAACACGCGGACCACAGGACCCACTGAAACTGAGAACTGTCCGAGAGCTCCACCAGCCCGTGGAGCACACTCTGCTGGCCAGACCAGAGCAAGAGTGCCCCTGGAAGGGAGCTCAAATGCCCAAGCCAGGAACAGCGCCCCTGGGTCAAGACTACCAACAGTAGAAGAAATTTGAACTGTGTCCTCCAGGCTGCATAACCTAGGTGGTATACACATCAGCATAGACCTAACAAGCGCGCTCCAGGCTGGGGCCGGAACCAGGCCCGGGGATCCGGCGCCTGAACAACACAAAAAGCTGAGCATACGCCTCAACAGAGGGGAGAAAATAAACAACACTCCCTGGGAAGCACGCCTGTGACAACAAAAGACCTGGAGGCTCAGGATAAGAGAAGCCCAAACCCCACCAAAACTCTACCCATATACCCTAGGCTGGGAATTGGGCAACACAGGCTGCCAGCACCTGATAGTAAGCAGGAGCTCAGGCTGATAAGGCGGCTCAGCAATAGAGTGATAGTCTTGGATGTATGAGGCCCTGGATCTGATTCCTCAGCATCACAAAAGCAAAAAGGGTCAGAAGTGGTGCTATGGCTCAAATGGTAGGGTACCAGCCTTGAGCTGAAGAGCTGAGGGACAGCACCCAAACCTAGAGTTCAAGCCCACAACCAGCCCAAAACAAACAAACAAAAACACATCAGGAGCCCATAGCAGACTCCAGTATTTGGGAGAGTGCATCCAGAGCATCTGATCTTCCCAAGAGCACCCGTAGGAGCAAACACAAGCAGTCTAGGCTGCTCAACCCTTCCAAAGGCGGGAATTGCCAGCAATCTACAGCAGAGAGCTGAGAATCCTAAGTAAGTCAGAATAGCAGCTGGAAATAGGCTCCCAACAGAACCCAGATCAGGCACAGACTCTCTCTACCAATACAGAATCAGCAACCAAGCAAAGACAGACACACCAAAACAAAATTGAAGAGCAGTCTCCTGAACCCCCATGCGAAAATCACAGAGAAAAATCACAAGGTTTACCACCACCCAGGACAGCAAGCTCACCTCAAAAGCCAGCAGCCACGCAGGGGAGAGCCCCAGTGGGAGCAAAGCAGGAATGGAAGACAAAAGCTACATCCAAGGGTTGCTGGAGGCAATGACTCAAGAAATAAAGCGAGAAATGGATCAGAAATTGAAAGAGCACAAGGATGAACTATCAAAAGATATACAGGATATCAAACAAAAGTTGGGTGCAAAAATAGAAGCTGCACAAACCTCAGTAAGAAGTGAGATAAACGCCAAATTAGAGGTAATGCATACCTCATTGAGAGGTGAGATCAGTACTCTGAGAACCAACATTGAATCCATAAAGGGATCCATTTCCTCCATGCAAACCACAATAGAAGCCACGGTCAACAGAGTGAATGAAATGGAAGGTAGAGTGTCAGACACAGAAGACAGAATACAACAACTGGACCAAAAAGTGACAGATATGGAAAAATCACTCAAACCAAAGGGAAATTCAAGAGCAAGCAGATAATGCCAAAAAATTTAATCTTCGCATAATCGCATAAGGTGAGGAATTCCAGAGCAAGGGAATGCAACACCTATTTAACAAGATAATCAATGAAAATTTTCCCCACCTAAAAAACGACCATCTTAACTACATTATAAAAGCTTATAGAACACCCAACAAGCAAGATCCGAGGAGAAACACTTCTAGACACATTATAGTAAAAATGATAAATCTGAATAATAAGGAAACAATCCTGCATGCAGCAAAAATGAAGAAGGAGCTATGCTACAACGGGAAAAAAATTAGAATCACTGCAGATCTCTCCACACAAACAATGAATGCAAGAAAAGCCTGGGAAAGCACCATACGAGCCCTGAGAGCCAATAACTGCCAACCCAGACTAATATACCCGGCAAAGCTAGCATTCACATTCGATGGAGAACTGAAAACTTTTAATAGCAAAGAAAAACTAAATGAATACGTAAACATTAAGCCAGCATTACAAAAAATTCTAAGAGGGGGGACACAACCTGAAGAAAGCAACCAGGAACTGGGACCTGCCCCAAACAGGCGTTACTCAAAGTCTAACTGAGCAAGCACAGGAGGAAAGGAAAGAAGAAAAACTTAGGAAAACGGAATGGCAGGGACAACAATGCATCTCTCTATACTTTCTCTTAATATAAATGGGCTGAATTCGCCAATTAAAAGAAAACGAACTGAGGACTGGATCAGAAAACAAGACCCATCCATCTGTTGCCTTCAGGAGACCCACCTCTCAGCCAAACATACAAACAAACTCAGAGTGAAGGGGTGGAAAAGGATCTACCAATCAAATGCCCCCAGTAAGAAAGCAGGTGTAGCTATCCTGATATCTGACAAAATAAACTTTTCATTAAAATCAGTACAGAAAGACAAGGACGGACACTACATATTAATAAAGGGAACAATCCAAGAGGAGGATATAACCATCATCAACTTATATGCCCCAAATATTGGTGCACCCAGATATGTCAAACAAATACTCTCAAACTTACAGAATAAAATAGATCCCAATACGATAATACTAAGAGACTTTAACACACCACTCTCACCAAAGGACAGGTCTACCAACCAGAGGATTGGCAAAGAAGCTACCGAATTAAGTGAGGCCATACTTCAAGCGGAATTAACTGACATCTACCGAGTATTTCACCCTAAAACAACACAGTACACATTCTTCTCAGCAGCTCATGGAACTTTCTCCAAAATAGACCATATCATAGTTCATGCAAGGAACTTAAGCAAATACAAAGGGATCGACATAATCCCCTGTATCCTATCTGATCACAGTGGAATCAAGCTAGCTCTCAATAACAAAGCATACCACAGAAATTTCTCTAATACATGGAAATTGAACAGCACACTCCTTAACAAGGCCTGGGTAACAGAAGAGATCAGAGAAGAAATAAAGCATTTCCTACAACTCAATGAAAATGAAAACACCTCACAAAGAAACTTGTGGGACACAGCAAAAGCAGTCCTGAGGGGCAAATTTATTGCCCTCAGTGCCCACATCAAGAGAATGGAGACAGACCAAGTAAATAATCTCATGTTGCAACTAAAACAGCTAGAAAAACAAGAAAAAATGGGACCTAAAGCTACTAGACAAAGCCAGATAACCAAATTAAGAGCAGAGATTAACCAATCAGAAAATCAGAAAACCATAACCAAAATAAACCAAACAAAAAGCTGGTTCTTTGAAAAAATAAACAAAATTGATGGCCCGTTGGCAAGATTAATTAAAAAAAGAAGAGAGGAAACCCATATTAATAGGATTAGGGATGCCACGGGAAACATCACAACACGTACCCAAGATATCCAAACAATTCTAACAGACTACTTTCAAAAGCTATACTCTCTAAAGGAAGAAAATCTGGCAGAAATGGATGCATTTTTAGAGAAATACAAGTTGCCCAAACTGAGCAAAGAAGAAGTTAACCAATTAAATAAGCCAATATCCTATAATGAGATACAGGAAGCTATCAAAAGTCTTCCAACAAAAAAAAGCCCAGGACCAGATGGATTCACAGCAGAATTCTATAAGACCTTTAAACAAGAACTAATACCCATACTCCTCAAGCTCTTCAGAGAAACAGAGAAGGAGGGAGCTATCCCAAACTCATTCTACGAAGCCAATATCACAGTCATCCCCAAACCAGGCAAAGACCCAACCAAAAAGGAGAATTACAGGCCAATTTCCTTGATGAACACAGATGCAAAGATCCTTAACAAGATTCTAGCTAACAGAATCCAGAAACACATAAAAAAAATAATACACTATGTCCAGGTAGGCTTCATCCCAGGGACACAGGGATGGTTTAACACACGTAAGTCAATAAATGTAATCCAACATATCAACAGAGCCAAGGTCAAGAATCACATGATTATCGCCACAGATGCAGAGAAGGCCTTTGATAAAATTCAACATTCATTCATGCTAAAAGCTCTGGAGAAAATAGGAATAGAAGGAACATTTCTAAAAACAATAAAAGCCATTTATGACAGACCAATAGCCAATATTATACTTAATGGGGAAAAGCTACAACCAATTCTCCTAAAATCAGGAACAAGGCAAGGATGCCCACTGTCTCCACTCCTCTTCAATATAGTCTTAGAACCCTTAGCCAGGGCAATAAGGCAAGAAAAAGACATTAAAGGGATCCGCACAGGGAAAGAAAAAGTTAAACTATCCCTTTTTGCAGACAACATGATACTATACCTCCACGATCCCAAAAACTCCATCCCCAAACTCTTAGAAATCATAAATCACTTCGGCAAAATAGCAGGATACAAAATAAACCCACAAAAATCAGTTGCCTTCCTATACACTGATAATGTACAGGAAGAGAGGGAAATAAAGGGAGCAACCCCATTCACAATAACCTCCCAAAAAATAAAATATTTAGGAATTAACCTAACCAAAGATGTAAAAGAACTATTTAATGAGAACTATAAAAAGGTAAAGAAAGAAATTGCAGAAGACACTAGGAAATGGAAAGACCTCCCATGCTCCTGGATAGGCTGACTTAATATAGTAAAGATGGTAATACTTCCAAAACTAATACACAAATTCAATGCAATTCCTATTAAAATCCCAATGACGTACATCACTGAAATACAGAAAACAGTCCAAAAATTCATATGGAACAACAAAAGACCTAGAATAGCCAAAACAATTCTAGGGGATAAAGACAATATGGGAGGGCTATCCATGCCGAA